TTTCTGTTCCCCAGTCATTAGCTCTGAGCTTTGTCCATGGGGGTGTTTGGACCAGCAGCGCTGGGAGGTGCGGTTTTCCCCGGAAATCTTCCCTGTATCCGGCCAATATTCAGCCCATGCCCTCCCCAAACCAGCACCTCCATCATCAACACACACTCACTGAGCAGCTACTTGAGGGCATACCCTTGGCAGGGCACTTGGGGTTAGGAGAACTAGCGACGCCCCAGAACCCTCAGCGCAGCTGGCCTCTGGAAGAAGGCACCCTGGAAAAGTGGACCCATTTTAGCCACGTGTTTAGAACTAAATAAAACCATTATGGAAATTTTGAGGTCATGCCTTCCCTTCCTTCCTTCCTTCCTTCTGACTTTAGGTAAACAACTTCAATGAGGGCCCTTCTCTTCTTGTTTTTGGCTTTCCCAAAAGACCTTTGAGTTGCTGGGGCTCCCTGGCCACATCTCAGTTGGAGTGAAGGTCTGGCTTCTGTTTGCCCAGCCTTTTCTGGACAACTGAGCTGGGCTCTTCCCTGTCACTAGACACTTTACATTCATTATTGGATGGTGCCCTCTCTCATGGGAAAAGAAAAACCAGTTTTTCAGAAAAGTTGGTGTTAATGTTTCATCTCAGACATCAGAAAGTAACCTGTTAGGGGAGGAAATGTAATAGAACCTAAAGTTTTATTTTCAGAAGAGAAGCGTCGCCAGCGAGGTAAGCCAGCTGTTGTCAGTGCTTGGAAATTGCTGTGGACCATGTGAGTATCTGGCTCCCTTCTTACTAGAATATTGTGACAGTTTCCCCCTGTTAACAATCTCAGACACTATTAACTGCCCCCCAATTTATTTTACTAAGGTCACCACACTAGCCTCCGATTGTGAAACAGCCTAAACCAGTGATGGCGAACCTATGACACGCGTGTCAGTGGTGACACGCGAACTCATTTTTTTGGTTGATTTTTCTTTGTTAAATGGCATTTAAATATATAAAATAAATATCAAAAATATAAATCTTTGTTTCACTATGGTTGCAAATATAAAAAAATTTCTATATGTGACACAGCACCAGAGTTAAGTTAGGGTTTTTCAAAATGCTGACACGCCGAGCTCAAAAGGTTCGCCATCACTGGCCTAAACTAAGCTAACTAGTGATTTACTTGCCAAAGTAATTTAAATAAAGTTTGATGGAATGCTGACAATGTCACAGCACTTTAGAGTTGGAAAGAAGTCCTAGAGAGCCGTGCCTCCCAGGTGGATGCATACAGACCTAGAGTGGTGAGGTTTTATGAAATCTCTGTCATTGGGAGACCCGGGTTCTGGTTTGTCCAGTGTCTGCTACATACCAAAGGGGGGTCTGGGATCCAGCAAGTCAATTAACATCCCTAACTTCCAGTGTCCATGAGTAGAAAATGAGCATATTTGACATCCTGTTATCTGAGAGGGCTATTGCAAAAATTGCATGAGGTAGTGTCAGTGATAGTGTTTTGGAACCTGAAAATCCCCATGCACATCTAAGGGACCCTGACTAGGACGTCACTCAAGACAACCTCAAAGCCACAGGAGGTCTGAAATGGAGACATGTCAGCGTCAATGAGTGGAAGGAGCACAGCTTAAGCAGCACTTAGGGAGGGAATCCAAACAACAGTTGTACAGGATGATTCACGGGGATATTGGGTTTATATACCTAGGAGCACACTAAGGAAGCATGACAGTGTTCAATATAGCGGTCTCTGTTGCCCTCTCCTGGGCCTCAGGTCAGCTCTCACTCTTGGCCCCTGCTGTGTAGTGATGCAAGGTAGGAAGGACGGGCATTCCTGTTCGCTTTCTGTGTTTTGTGGCATATTTCAGTTTACATGTATATGCTCAGATGAGAAGGTGTGTATGGTGTCCGCTGCCTAGTTTTACCTAATGTAACCTTCACCATTGGACAAGTAACTTCAGAATTGACTTGCATAGAAACACTGAGTGAAATAATTCTAATAAGGTGAATTCAAGGAAGAAAATAGCATACCTGACAACCACTCCCCCACACACAGACACACAAACTCATATACAAGCTCTTTCAATCTCATCACAACTGACCAAAGGTTGATGAAAGCAAAAATGTAGAAAATATCAAGAAACTAGCGATAGATAGCTTTATCCATCATTACCAAGAGAGAAACTCACTCTAACTGTATTTTTGTCTGTTTAAATGTTAGTTAATGATCATATTATATTATGATTAGTAAAGCATTTATAATATTTATTTCACCTCTATTCTATTTCTTTAAATTTCTATTTATATGTAATATACAGTATAAGTATCTAGAAGATTTCAGCAAATATGACTAATTGTTAAATGGGCCTGACATACCCCAAACACTATACCCACTACCACAGATGCACCTTTTAAAAAAAAATACATCTGATACAGTTCCATCAGTTGACTATATGCTGATACATACAAGTGTCAATCAATTTCAAAACTTGATAATAAATCTACCGCTAAAAATTTCCTCATATGTTTATAAATTATGCAAAACATTGCTTCATAAGCCATGGGTCAATGAAGAAATCACAATAGCCATTACCAAATATTTTGAATTGAAAATATGCATTTGTACACTGGAAACCTATATAATTTTTTTAACCAATGACACCCCAATAAATTTAATAGAATTAAGAAACCCAAAACCTGAAAATATGGCACGTCAAAACTTTGTGAATACAGCTAAGTTTGTGCTCAGAATAAAATAATAATACAAATGCTTATTTCAGAAATTATGTAAAGCTGAAAATTAAAAATTCTAAGTTACCATCTTAAAAAATTTATTTTTAAACTCAGCAAATAGGCTCAATAAAATTTTTTAAAAGGTAAAATAAAAATAAGTACAAATCTATAAATCCAAAAGTTGATTACTTACAGCCTAATAAAATTGAAAAATCTACCCTCCATTTTTTAAATTACGTAATAAGGTGTGTGGAAAGAAATAAAAGCTTAATCAAAACAAAACAGAACCTATTTCTAATGTAAAATACTTTTCCAACAGCTATTTCTTCTTTATAACATACTAGAGGCCTGGTGCATGAAATTCGTGCACACAGTGGGGTCCCTAAACCTGCATCCTCTTGCAGTCTAGGAGCCCTGGGGGGATGTCTGATGACGGCTTAGACCCTATCCCGGGTGCTGGCAGTCAGACATTCCTCTCGCAGTCTGGGCCTAAGCCGGCAGTCAGATATCCTTAGCACTGTTGCAGAGGCAGGGGAGGCTCCCGGGACTACCACTGCACTCACCAGCCATGAGCTTAACTCATGGCTTCTGGCTGAGTGGCACTCTTTCTATGGGAGTGCACTGACCGACCACCAGGGGGCAGCTCCTGCATTGAGCGTCTGCCCACTGGTGGTCAGTGTGCATCATAGTGACTGGTTGGTCTGTCGTTTGGTCGATTTGCATATTAGCCTTTTATTACATAAAATTGTTTAAGTTTACATGGTATTTTTATTAGTTTAACTTAAAGCTTTAGATCTTAAGAAGTAAATGAGTCTAATATTTAATTCAAGATATTCATTATAAAATACTAGTGGCCTGGTGCGCAAAATTCATGCATGGATGGAGGTTCCCTCAGCCCAACCTTCACCCTTTCCAATGAGGGATCCTTTGGGGGATGTCCGACTGCCGATCCCTGTGGGATCGGGCCTAAACCAGCAGTCAGACATCCCTCTCACAATATGGGACTGCTAGCTCCTAACTGCTCACCTTTCTGCCTGCCTGATTGCCCCTAAGTGCCTCTGCCTGCCTGCCAGATTGCCCCTAACCCCTCTGCCTGCCTGCCTGATCGCCCCTAACTGCCTCTGCCTGCCTGCCTAATCGCCCCAAACTGCCCTAACCAGCAAGCCTGATCTTGCCCCCAACTGCTCTCCCCTGCTGGCCTGATCTCACCCCCAACTGCCCTCCCCTGCCGGTCAATTTGGTTCTGATTGGTGGTTTCTATGCCAGTCAGTGTCTAAAGCTCTGCCTCCTAGGCAGCCATTGGCTCCTCACAGTTCACCCAGATTTGGTTCTGATTGGTCAGATTCTATGCCAGTCAGCATCTCCGGGCCTATCTCTGGGCCTGATCAGAGAGGTGGGGCTGATAAGCAGCCCCCGAGGAGGCCCAGAGAGAAACAAAGGCATGGCTGCTGGTAAAGCCCGGAGAGAAAGAGAGCCAACAGCTGATCAACAGTTGCCACAGAGGCTGTGGATCAGACCCTGCTTCTCTCTCCGGGTCTTTCTCTGGGCCTGATCCACAGCCCCCTCAGCAGTCAGTGCTGGGTCGCTACGCCCTAACAGGTGGCAGTCAGTGCTGGGTCACCACAGCAACCCAGCACTGACTGCAGGACTGACTCCTGGTGTTTGGTAGAGCCTTCGGTTGTTACGGACCCTGGAATTTTATATATTAGGATAGGCCCTCATAACGTTTAGTTGTTGAGTTTGGTCTGCAAAACATGTGCTGAATTTTTCTGTGCTGATGTATTGACTTGGCAACATCTTTTAACAGTTGTGACCACTACTGAAGGCCAGAGAAGAGGCTGTTGTGCTGCTAGGTCTGGGTGGTCAACTGGGAATGAAGATAGCTGGTGAAACACATGCCTGCTGATTATTATGCAAGAGGATGGGGTAAAGGAAGCCAGAGCCCAGGCACTTTCTGATGGATAAAATATGAAGCTATGAATTAGTTTTTCCTTCCGTGAAAGAACAGATAGATCAGATATATAGATACAGATAAAATAGATATAGATTAGATATAAATATATATTGATATAGATATATCTTAATTGCCTTCAAAATAGCAGGCATTTTTAAAATGGATAGATGCTGTTTCAAAAAGCTCTTTTCTAAAGTTGCTGCTAAGGGAAGCAATCCTTTTACCAGCATTAAAGTGTTCATTTTCTTCTTTGATCACATCTATGAAACATATTGGAGAAAAAGAGGAGGTGGACTAGAAGTCCCCTCATTGACCCTAATGTCCCTGTGATCTTGGTCTTCAGGTCAATGCCAAGCCCCGCCATATTTTCCATCTGCCATGCCTACAACACTGACTGATGAGGCTGAGTTTCCCATTGGAACATCTTTGCAGTATAAATGCCGCCCTGGTTACCAGAGGAGAGTTTTCTCTATCACCTGCCTAAAAAACTCAGTCTGGTCAAGCCCTGCAACCTGTACCCGTAAGTAACTCTGGACTGAGAACTCCTCTGTCTCAGTGAAACATCCCTAAGAACTGGTGCAATTGTTCAGATTTGGGAATGAAAACATCTATGACTTGTAAGTTTGCCTCATTAGGACCTGAGGACCAAGAGAAGTCATATCTTCCGGCTGCTTTGAGTTCCTGGCACCTTCATTAAAAGTTCATTTCATAAGAAACTGTCATTAGGGCATGATTGAGGGAAATCCCCACTCACTAATCATCTGCCATTTTCATAACTGAAACTGATGAATGACTCAGGAAAGGAAAAAGAAGTGCAAGTAAGAACAAAAGCCCAGACTCAGACCTTTACTCTGGTTGAATCACAGAGTAAACACTTTGGTAACAAATAAAATTTACATTTTCCTGGGAGGCATGAGGTGAGGATTAGATAGAACTGGAGGGGAGGTCTTTTTGAAAGTGGTGCTTAGTAGGTGGCTGCTTTTGAGATAGTGTTGTGAAATTCCCCAAAGTGGCAAAACCTGTAGAACTACAAATGTTCTTCAGTAAGCTGCAGCCAGGTTGGGTCTTTACTAAGAGAAATTCAAGGAATTCTACACCCAGTCCCCAAATTCTGCTTCTTTCCCATAGGTAAATCATGTGTAACTCCTTCCGAACCCATAAATGGCAAAATGGAAATAACTGGAGAAGGCAAGTTTGGATCAAGAATTAATTATTCTTGTAATGAAGGGTGAGTTTGCAGTAGCATTTGCGGGGCGGGGTTGGGGGAGGGTGATGGTTTAAAAATTGTAACATCAATTTATACAAAATAGTATTAGAGAGAAGAGTCAAACTACCTACCCGTTAAAACAAACCAATAGGATTTCTAAGTGGAGGTGGTAGCTTCAATCCAGGCATTTAAATACCCTTGAAATGATTAAGCATATATTTCAAAAATAGGAAAAAAAAATCTAGAAAATGTGTGTATGTGTGTTGGGGGGTGGGGGGGCGGGTGCCTGTTGCACACCAAATTAATGCACATAAAACCAGGTGAAGCATTCATTGGATGGAGAGGACCAGCTCTCTAAAGAAGCAAATGGAACAAATACTAGTTGACCCACAAATATATTCTCTCTTCAAAGCACCAAGAGCTGGGGATGGTGGATTCAGGGGGAAGTGGGAGTGATTTGTTTGGGAGGATGGAGCAGGTGTGAGGAATGGGCAGATCTGAATTGTGATAGCTCCTCCCCAGAAGTGCTCACAGTGCAAGCATCATGCTGGGGACATCTTCTTGGCCTATCCTTGGGGGAGGCACCCATTTAGGAAAGAAGTAGGGGGACTGCTTCACCTTATACTTCACTTTTGCTTTGTGTTTTTTTTTTGCTTACTAGAGGCCCAGTGCATGGATTTGTCCAGTGCATGGATTCATGCACTAGTGGGGGTCCCTCGGCCTGACCTGCTCCCTTTCACAATCCATGGCCCCTCGGGATAAGTCAGAGACCCAGTTTCGGCCCGATCCCTGCAGGCCAAGTCAAGGGACCCCACCAGTGCACAAATCTGTGCACCAGACCTCTAGTATGCATATAAGAGCTTGGGTTAATCTCTTCCCACCCTCCCCCATTCCCCTTTCCCCTGAGATTCATCAGTCTGTTCCATGTTTCCATCCCTGTGCATTGAGTGCCTGCCCCCTGGTACTCAGTGTGCGTCATAGCTACCGGTTGAACAGTCGACCCGTTGCATATATATGGCATTGTTCTAACTATACCAAATAACACTTGACAATTATTTGGTATTATTTGTCTCAATTTGTAATAGTATCAAGTTTCGCCCTTCCTATACCAACTCTCGTGAATGGCTCACCGCAGCATTCCATCACTATACAAAGCCTCTGTTGAAGTAAATATAAATGTCACTAAATTTTCCAAATTTTATGGCACCATTTAAACAGTTTGGGGCATACTAATTGAGAATTTCTGCCTTTAATATTTAAAATATGAGATTAGTGTTCAACTCTCTTTGTTCTGCTTGGATTTCCTTTGGTTCTACTTTGATGAATTTTATTTACCTTAGATTTACATAAAAATGTATCTGAAGTTGATAAAGAAGAAAGATTACATCCAGTTTAGAAAGTATAAAGGAGAAAATTTAATGTCCCAATACAGACATAAGATTTGAGAAATTGACAGTTTTACAAAAGGAAATTGTTCTGCATTCTTCAAAATGGTGGTCTCTTGTAAGTAACAATCTAAGCAGGGACATTAGAATGTAACTGTTAGGTCGGAGAGAGCCCAGGATCAGATACATGCAGACATGTGACGAGATAATGGACTACCCCTGGCATTTCTAACAGATCAGCATGCCAGACACAGATACTGGCTTCTCCACAACCCCCACACAGATACTGACTCATTCCTGAATACCTTCCTGACCCGCCTGCAGCTGAAACTTCTTCAACTGAATTCCTCAGCTCATGTCCCTGCCCCTCACCCAATGGCAGTATAAACAAAGCTCCCCCCTCCCTGTTGGCATGAATCCATGTGCCCTGTCCTTGGGGTACATGGGTCTCCCAGGGATGCAGAAATAAACCTTTTCCTTTCCTTTCTTTTCTGATTCACTGGACTCTCTATTTCTTGCGCCGCCTCCTGAGCCACCTAACCTAACCTAACAGTAACATTCATTATTCTTTGCCTCTAGATACCAACTCATTGGTGAAACTTCTAATTATTGCGCCATCGTAGGTAATACTGTCGCCTGGGAAAATGAAGTACCTGTTTGTCAGAGTGAGTTGAAATCTTTTCTATTACCTTTACCAGTAGAGTCTAAGTTTCCACTTGAATTTATAAAAATTTGAATTGAATTCCTTTAGTGCATTCTGTCCTTCAGATAGTTGAAGACAGCGCTACTGTCCTCCAAGTGCTTGTGGGTTTCCTGGCGACTGTTTAAGTTCTTCCTGATCTCGGGATGTGCCTTTTGTAAATCTGAGGACTTAAATGCATAAAAGCCTCTAAAATGTATTTCAACTTCAATTAATTTGGAATTATGTTGGTTCTACCGTCCCCAGTATAATAACCATTCTGCTTGGCAAATACAGAATGATAAAGCAATGCTCTCCAAGGTTCATGAAGCTGTGGAAGAATCAACACCCTCATGTACGAGGGTTCAACAAACCCTCTTGAAAGGCACCCTGTACTATACGCCTCAAAAGTGGGTACATATAAGACCTACTTCTTAGAATTCACACTTAGGAAATAAGCACAGCTTTCTGCAAGGAGTTCACTGTAAACGCATCATTGCTGCATTATTTATAATAGTGAAATGGTTCCGTCACCTAAATGTACTATTTGTTTCAAAATACGGTTTAGAAAGAATCTGCCAGAAGGAAAGAAAAGTGATAAAATGACTACATAGGATTTCCTAAGGAACATACAATAGCCATGCAGCATTAGAAGAAATATATCTGTATAGTGGAATTTTATTCAGCCATAAAAAAAAACATCTTGGAGAAGCACTTAGTGACATATAAAGATGTTTATTATATCTATTTGATGTGAAAAAAATCAGATGACAAAACAGTTTGTATGGCAATAGTTCATTTTATTAAAAGATCATATATCTGTGCCTATTCCTATATTTTCATCTCTATCTCTAATTCTGTAACCATTTTTATATTCAAACCCTGGTAACTAGTTTTAAGCCTCTTTGGTGAAGGCTGTGGGGCTGAACGGGGGTGGGGGGGGGGTGTCCTTTACCTTTTGGGTGTGTAGCAGGCTGCTTCCTCAAGAAGATTCACACTCCCATTTCTTTAGGCTCCTCTGTGTCTGTAAACTGGTTCTCAAGTCTGGGAATTGGCTGACGAAGAACCACACTCTGTTTTATAGTGTTTCAAGTTAGACTTCTGGTCACCAGACCTAGATCTTTTCTGCTTATACAAACCTTAGCTCACTCTTCATCTACTTCATCTCTTGAGACTCCATGATCAATTAACTGATGACAAAGGTCTCTGCAGATAAATCATTCTGATTTGTTTCAATTGCCTCTGGCAGTTAAGGGCTGCCACTCAGCCTCTGCCATTCTGAGGTCCTGTCATCCCCCTTGATTTCAGGGAACCTGGTTCAATAGCAACTATTCCCACTGTCATTCCTGGCCTACAGAGAGGGCCTACATCACAGAGTTCTTCAAAGATGCTGGAACTCCTACATGAATTTATTTCTCAAAGCCTTGGGTAAAAGATCCCTCTTTCACTCATCCTCCAACCCCCCACGGATGGACTTAGTTAAGGAGCCTATTCATGGGTCTTACAAAATGAATTGCCTCCAGCATTCTCAGAGCCCCGGGCCATGGTGATGCCAGGTGGGTTCTTGGCTTCATGCAGGAAGGAATTCAAAACCTGACCCAGACAGAAGAGGTTAAAGCAGAGAAGTGGGTTTTATTGAGCAGACAGGACACACAGGAAAAGCCACTCCACAGACAGAGGGGTGGACGCCCCTCAGGAGAGAAGGGAGAGAGGCCCCGGCCATCTCTGCACGTTGAGCCTATACCTGTTTGTAGTTTCTATGGAAAATTGCTGGGATGGGGAACAGAGTGGGGGAAAAGTCGGGATGAACTTTCACCTTTATAAGGTATATTTTGTGGTCTGTTTCCCTTTTATGGTATGCTTGTAGGTAAGTGATAAGGTGTGGCTGAGTAGCTAGTCATCAGTCATCAGTCTTCGCAGGAGTGTCCTTGGTTCCAGGGGTTTCTCATGGTCTGCTTGCATCTCCGTGTCAGGCAGCACGGAGCAGGCCCCCGGCTTCACTTTGTTTGTCTTTAGTTCATTTATATCGTTTTCCTGCCCCTCTCCTATGTGAATAGGATGTCTGCCTCTGAGGTATGTTAGTAAAGCTCTCGTCTTTCACCTTCACTGGGCACGCTCCACACTCAAACTATCACACTGAAGTCAGAATCTCACTTCTTTCGGTGCATTTGCATCTCTCATGAGTTACAATTTTTATCTACCCCCCCCCCACACACACACTCCACCCTCATTCTTGCCTGGAATTGAATCTGGTGAGAGCACTAGAAACGATGTGAGGTGGTAGGGGTAGCTCTTGAGAAGATCATCAAGTGTTACCATTTGAGTTGCCAGATTTAGTAAATAAAAAATATTCTATACCCAGTTAAATTTGAATTTCAGATAAGCAACAAGTATTTTTGCACTATAAATACTAGTATATGCCATGCAGCCCGACCGGTGTTGCCCAGGGGTTGAGAGTTGATCTGTGAACCAGGAGGTCAGCATTTGATTCCCAGTCAGGGCATATGCCCGGGTTGCGGACTAAATCCACAGTGGGGGCAGTGCAGGAGGCAGCCAATCAATGATTCTCTCTCATCATTGATGTTTCTCTCCCTCTCTCTCTCCCTCTCCCTTCCTCTCTGAAATAAATAAAAATATATATTTTTTAAAAATAAAAAATATATATATGCCATGCAATTCTGAGATATAATTATACTTAGAAATGTTTAACTTTTTTCTGAAATTCAAATTTAACGGGACTACAAATACTTCTTCTGGCAGCCCTGTTTCGGAAGGGGCCATTAGAGTTCCTTCAGGCAAGAGAGGAGAGGGGAGGAGGAGCTACTTCTCCTAGTGTTATACAGTGGGGCCTTGACTTACGAGTTTAATTTGTTCTGAGACTGAGCTCGTTAACTCAAATTACTCTGTCAACTCAAAGCAAAAAATTGGCGGAGAGACAGCTGGTATCTCACTGGTAAGTCTAGGCCCCACTGTGCAGGCAAAGTAAGTCTGGGAAATCTGGTTCCAATTAGCCTGGGTGATACTGTACAAAACCACTAGGTAAATAAAACTTTTATTTTCCTCTCTCCCCCTTCCCCCACCTCCCTTCTGGCCCACCTCTATCCCCCTTTGTAGCTTTCTCTGTCTTCTTAAATTATTATTGGTAATTTATGTTTTCATTAATATCATTTAGGTTTTCAAAATGTTAACATACAGTTGTCTACAGTTTCATAAATATTCTCATGTATATGTAAATATGTTCAAACTAGAGGCCTGGTGCATGAAATTCATGCACGGGAGGGAGGGGGGTGTCCCTCAGCCTGGCCTGCACCCTCTCCAATCCGGGACCCCATGAGGGATGTCCAACTGCCTCTTGCAATCCGGGACTGCTGGCTCCGAACTGCTTGCCTGCCTGATCGCCCCTAACCGCCTCTGCCTCAGCCCTGCAGCTGGGACTCTGGATTCCCTCCTCCGGCTGGCCACAGGCACCTGGATTCCGAGCCTGCTCCACCTGGGCCGTCCACAGCTGCAGGGGACTGGGGGCGGTGGCTTTCCCAGGCTGTAGCCGCGGGCACCCTGGACTGCAGGGCGGGCAGCTTCTCTCTCTCCTGGGCCACAGCTGTGGCTGCTGGCACCTGGGACCACAGGGCAAGCAGCTTCTCCCTCTCCCGGGCTGCAGCCACAGCCACTGGTGCCCCCAGGACTGGGGGCAAGTGGCTTCGCCCGGGCCCGGCTTTGTCAGGAAGGATGTCCGGATGGTCGTCCGGAAGATGTCTGGTCTAATTAGCATATTATCCTTTTATTAGTATAGATTCTATTTCTTACTGCTGCATATCTGTGTTGGCTCTCCTTATACTTTTTTAAATTGATTTTTTAAACTCTATTGAGAGGATTACAGATCTCCCCCGTTTCACCCCCTCACCCCCTCTTCCCCTGGCTCCTGCCCCACCCCATCCCAGGCCTTCACACCCTATTGTCTGTGTCCATAGGTAATGCATATATGCACATAAGATCTTTGGTTAACCCCTTCACCCCTTTTCCTCTGAGATTCCTCAGTCTGTTCCATGTTCTCATGCCTCTGATTCTATTTTATTCATCAGTTTATTTTGTTCATTAGAATTCTTGTTCGTTTATTTTGATTTTTAGATTTAACTGTTGATAGATATGTATTTGTTGCCTTTTATTGTTCATATTTTTAATCTTTTTTTCTTTTCCCTCTTCTTCTTCTGCTCCTTAAAGAATACTCTTCATCATGTCATGTAATACTGGTTTGGTGGTGATGAACTCCTTTAGCTTTTTCTCTTATACATTTTTTTTATTAAGGGTATTTTGATTTTTTTTTTTAAGCTATACTGGTCTCATTTATAACAAAAATGAAAATTAGAAGGCAGTTGGAAAATAGGGGGGAAACTGTGTAAACTATGATATTATATAATCAAAGAGTTATTTGTACTAAAAAGAATGTGAATTGTATTACTATACGGATATGTTCATAGGAAATAATCTAAGTAGGAAAAGAAGAATTATGCTTTTTATTATGTACATCTAAATTACAATTTTGGAAAACCTAATCTACCTGTTAGTAAGGATTAAAAGCAAATAATGAGTGTAAAAATGGTAACAGTTTAGTGACATTGGATTGCTCTCAGTAGTTATTTCAATTCACTATCATTTAAATGGCATTTCCTTTTCACAGTTATTCAATGTAAGACACCACCAACCATCACCAACGGATTTTTCGTTAGCTACAGCGGAGACGATTTTCCATACGGAATAGTGGTAACCTACCGCTGCAATGACAGAAAAGGAAGGGAAAAGTTTGAACTCGTGGGCGAGAAGTCAATATATTGCACCAGCAAAGATCAAGTGGGCCTGTGGAGCGGCCCTGCCCCTCAGTGCATCGTACCTAATAAGTGCACGCCTCCGCACGTTGAAAATGGAGTAAGGGAGTCTGAGAACAGAAGCTTGTTCTCCTTAAATGACATCGTGAGCTTTAGGTGTCAGCCTGGCTTTGTCATGAAAGGCCCCTCCAGTGTGCGCTGCCAGGCCCAAAACAGATGGGAGCCTGAGCTGCCCAGCTGCTCCCCGGGTGAGTCTGACTGAGGCTTCGAGGGGGCCTGCAGGTGACAGGAGCTGTGGGAGGACCCCCGGATTAGTGTTTGTTCTGGGAGGGAGGTGTGTGCTGAGCAGTGTGAGTAAATTTTCTAGGGGTGAAGCATGAATCTAAGAAGGTGTGTATGTATATGTGTGTGTGTTCAAGTTGAGAAACAAAGCAAAATCTGGGCACAGAATATGACGTTCCCTTAGGATTCTTAAAGAGGCTAGATAATGCCCAAGATCAAACAGATACTAACTTGCAAACTGAAGGCTGAAACCCAAATCTGCCTGACTCTAGAGCAGTGATGGCAAACCTATGACACGCGTGTCATAGGTGACACGCGAACTCATTTTTTGATTGATTGATTTTTCTTTGTTAAATGGCATTTAAATATATAAAATAAATATCAAAAATATAAGTCTTTGTTTTACTATGGTTGCAAATATCAAAAAATTTCTATATGTGACGGCACCAGAGTTAGGCTTTTTCAAAATGCTGACACGCCGAGCTCAAAAGGTTCGCCATCACTGCCCTAGAGCCAGGGAAATCAAAACCACTCTAGATTGTTCAAGGAGTGGGGGATTTAGAGCAGAGAACAGGATAGAGGGTATTGGCAGGGCGGAAAGAACAAAAGGAGAAGGGCTGTTTGCAGGGCACCGGAGTCCGCCGTTGGCTCGGGACTGAAGAGGCCATGCCCGCACTCTCTGCTGAAACTCACTGAGCAGCCCTCCCCTCCAACGCTGCCCCTGCGACCAGGATGCAGCTGAGATCGCTGGAGCCAAAGCCATTATCGCTAGAAATGAAGTCGCTACTGCTAAATAAGAGCCTTCAACACTGCTACTTCCTGAGCCTCCTCTAGAAGACGAATGGCTTTTATCATTTTCCCACCTTTGAATTTGTTATATCTTCCACCAGTTGACAGAGTCTAACCAGAACTCAGCTGTCAAGGGAGATAAGCAATTATAGTTTGCAGGCTTCGAGCCCCAAAAGTCAAAGGAGAATGCAAAGGTGTGAGGCTGGGAGTTCACAGACATTTAGTCCACATAGCACTTAAATATCACATCACTGTGCAATTGTTAATCAAGGAGGCAGAGGGGCAGTGAGCCCTGAAAATGGGTTTTTAGAGCCTCAGAGTATTTTCAAAGTCCTTAAGGGAGTCATTACTCTAGTCCAGTGGTTCTCAACCTTCCTAATGCTGCGACCCCTTAATACAGTTCCTCATGTTGTGGTGACCCCCAACCATGAAATTATTTTCGTTGCTACTTCATAACTGTAATTTTGCTACTATTATGAATCGTAATGTAAATATCTGATATGCAGAATGTATTTTCATTGTTACAAATTGAACATAATTAAAGCATAGTGATTAATCAAAAAAATAATATGTAGTTATATATGTGTTTTCCGATGGTCTTAGGCGACCTCTGTGAAAGGGCCCATCGACCCCCAAAGGGGTCGCAACCCACAGGTTGAGAACTACTGGCCTAACAGGTGGACTATAAATTGGTGATGCTTTTCTAGAAAGTAGTATGAAGATATTAAAAATATCCTTCAATCTTAACAACTGTATCTGGGTAACCAGTAATGGGAATCATTCTAGAAGGGAACTGTCTGCAGCGTAATCTTAGGTGAGGATTTTAGATGGAAAACAGTGAACTGAGGATATGTCAGTGCTAGCACAGCTCTGTGATGAATCAGGTCTGTGGCGTCTCTCTCTCATATTACCATTCACAAAATGAGGGTGTTAGTCTACGAGGTTTTTCAAAAATAGGTAGACTTATAGTTAGGATTCTGTTGGCCAATTTACCACTGAGGAAAGGTGCTTTTCACACTCTTCACAGCACTTGGCTCTCTTTCCTCAGGATGTCAGCGGCCTCCAGAAATCCTGCATGGCCAGCACAGCCCCAGCGACAAGGACAGCTTTTCCCCTGGGCAGGAGGTGCGCTACAGCTGTGAGCCCGGCTATGACCTCAGAGGGGCCGCCTCTCTGCGCTGTACGCCCCAGGGGGACTGGAGCCCGGCCGCCCCCACATGCGCAGGTGCCTACACTCTTGTCTGGTTTGAAATTTTTAGCTTGGGGCTTTATTCTCCATGTGCCAGTGTCCTCTCTGTTTGTTCTCCAGGGAAATCATGTGCTGCCTTCCGGGACCAACTTCCTAATGGCCGTGTGCTCTCTCCACTTAACTTCGAGCTTGGAGCCAAAGTGTCCTTCGTTTGTGATGAGGGGTGAGTGTGAGCTTGCCTGGCCCCCTGGACACTAAAATCGGAGTTAGAAGTTAACAGAAAGGGAAGGTTTGGTGTGGCTAAAAAATGAATTCAGGGGGTTACATCTTGGAAGTGTGTAAGAAAAGTAAGAGTAAAAACAGGTGGAAAAAATAGCATGAGGTATGAAGGAAAAATTGGGACATATATGAAATGGCTGGTATACAGACAGATACAATGACTGGTTATGAATATACATGTGATGCATTGATTGAAAAAAATAGTAATATTTTCCAAGCAGAAAAAAAGAGAAGAAGAATTTGGAGAGTTCCAAGAAAAGTTTGATATACAACAAAACGTTTATTAAAAATAATTAAGATTATTTAAGAATTATTTGGTCATTTTTAACCATCAAAAGGAAAATTTGTCATAAGAGTAAAAGCATAAGAATGGGTATTTTGCCGAAACCGGTTTGGCTCAGTGGATAGAGCGTCGGCCTGCGGACTGAGGGGTCCCGGGTTCGATTCCGGTCAAGGGCATGTACCTCGGTTGCGGGCACATCCCCAGTGGGAGATGTGCAGGAGGCGGCTGATCGATGTTTCTCTCCCATCGATGTTTCTAACTCTCTATCTCTCTCCCTTCCTCTCTGTGAAAAATCAATAAAATATATTTAAAAAAAAAAAAAAGAATGGGTATTTTAATCTAATCACGTATCTTCTGGTCAGTCATGTGCTTAGGGCTCAAATGGGATCACGGTGGCTGGTGAATGTTTTAGGTAACGACATTGTTCATGTGAGGCTGGTGCTCTTCCCAGTGTGCTCATCTCTGCATGGGAAGGATCAAGTGTGAGCAAAGAAGGACTTGACCTCAGACCCTTTCAAAGAATCCTGGCAGGCACCCAGTGACAGCACCCAATAAGATTTAGGAGCCACTGGGGTCCTACATGCATTGACCATTGTGGATGATCGCATACAAACGTCATTTCTGATCTCCGTTCCCTTCCCCTAGAGCAGTGGTCGGCAAACTGCGGCTCGCGAGCCACATGCGGCTCTTTGGCCCCTTGAGTGTGGCTCTTCCACAAAATACCGACTTCTGCGCATGGGCCACGAAGTTTCAATCGCACTGTACATGCGCGCCTGCACGTGGTATTTTGTGGAAGAGCCACACTCAAGGGGCCAAAGAGCTGCATGTGGCTCGCGAGCCGCAGTTTGCCGACCACTGCCCTAGAGCACTCAAACTTACTCAATAGCCCAATGTGCCTTCTTCACAGCCATCACAGCCATAGAGACAAAAGGACAATCTTTGCGCTCTTTCCAGTTACTCTCTGCTTTTTCTATCCAAACTTGGAACTGTTTTACTCACTTTTCCAGTATCAGAATTAGGAATCTGTTGCATTAGAAGACTGGGTTTCCCATATGATGAGTACATTTATCAGGTTTATCATGGGAACTAGAAGTCTGGTGCATGAAATTGTGCACTCAGAAGGGAGGGAGCCCTTCAACCCGCATTGTGAGAGGGCACAGGCCAAGCCAAGGGACCCCCACCAGTGCATGATCGGGGTCAGGGAAGGACACGGGAGGTTGGCCAGCCCGGGAGAGACCACGGGAGGGCTCTAGAGCATGCCCAATCCATCTCCCGCTGTCCCAATCAGTCAGACCTCAGCAGCAAGCTAACCCACCAGTCAGAGCGTCTGCTCCCTGGTGGTCAGTGCATGTCAAAGCATGCGGTTGAGCAGCCTTAGCATATCATTAGCATATTACACTTTGATTGGTTGAACAGACGACCAGATGACTGGACACTTAGCATATTGGGATTTATTATATAAGATGATCAGCTAGAGATTCACTTCTCAGAATCTGGGTCCAGGATCAAGGAGAAGGCTGCTACACTCTGACTGCCTTCTTCAATTCAGCCTGGAACTATGTGTTATGTGACCAACTAACTGTCCTCCCTAACAGGAGGCTGTGATTTGTCTAAAGCAGTGGTTCTCAACCTTCCTAATGCCGCGACCCTTTAATACAGTTCCTCATGTTGTGGTGACCCCCAACCATGAAATTATTTTCGTTGCTACTTCATAACTGTAATTTTGCTACTGGTATGAATCATAATGTAAATATCTGATATACAGGATGTATTTTCATTGTTACAAATTGAACATAATTAAAACATAGTGATTAATCACAAAAACAATATGTAATATATGTGTGTTTTCCGATGGTCTTAGGCGACCCCTGTGAAAGGGTCGTTCGACCCCCCGAAGGGGTTGCGACCCACAGGTTGAGAACCGCTGGTCTAGATCAATATGGCCTCCAAACTTCTGCCACCTGTTGGTTTCGGATGCTAAGGTTTTCAGCCGGGCCTCAGAGTTTTGCAAACTGAAACAGCTCACCTGTGCACTACCATTTTCTTCTTTAGATTCCATCTACAAGGCAGCTCTGCCAGCCATTGTGTCTGGGTTGGAATGGAGAGCCTCTGGAATAGCAGTGTCCCTGTGTGTGAACGTGAGTACAAGGAATAACACTTTAGGACAATTCCTCCCTTAACCTATTTAGTATTTTGACTTATGGCAACCCCAATATGGTTCTTTTATTTTCTAATCTGAATTACTGAGAGATAGTTGCTTTTTAAATGGTATTTATTTTTGATCAATTTGTTGTGATGCACGTTATTGTACATCATGTGTTTTGGGAACCATTTTGTCCGTCTCTGTTATTTTGAATTCTTCGTTCTGGGTGATATATCCTGCAGCAGTTGGCCTCTAGATCAGGAGAGATTAAATAACGTGAAGCTTTGACAGTTTTCTTCCTTTCTTCTTTCCTTCCTTTCCTAATTCTTTCTTTTCTTTTCTTTTTCTAATATCAGGATGTAACCACTCTACATTTTTTCTATCTACTGGCTAATATGTAAATATGAAACATGCATTCATTCGAACAACTATTTATTGAGGACATACTATGTGCTTGGTATTTTCCTAAACACGGGATTATAGCAGTGAACAAGATAAGTGAATGCCCGGTCCCCGTGTTATTTATACCCCAGTGAGGAGATGGTCAGGAAAAACAATAAACAAGTAACTGTTATGGAAGTGACAGATCAGAGCAGTGAAAGAATGAGGGGAAGTTGAGAGCAACATTACATGGGGTAAGCAGTTTAAATGCCTTAAACCAGGGGTTCTCAACCTTCCTAATGCCGCGACCCTTTAATACAGTTCCCTCATGTTGTGGTGATCCCCAAATTTCATTGTTACAAATTGAACATAATTAAAGCATAGTGGTTAATCACAAAAACAATATGTAATTATATATGTGGTTTTTGATGGTCTTAGGCGACCCCTGTGAAAGCGTCGTTTGACCCCCAAAGGGGTTGCGACCCACAGGTTGAGAACTGCTGCCTTAAGCTCTCCAAACATGTACTTAAATAAATTATGTTGAAAGATTCAGAAGTAATTAGCTGATTAAAACATGAGTCTCCTCCCACAGCTGGGTGGCTCAGTTGGTTGGAGCATTGTCCTATACAACAAAAAGTTGCAGGTTGGATTCTCAGTCAAGACACATATCTAAGCTTCAGGTTCCATCCTGGTCAGGGTGTGTATAGGAGGCAACCAATTAATGTTTCTCTCACACATTGATGTTTCTATCTTTCTCAATCTCTCTCACAATCTCTCCACCCCCCCACCCCCCCCATCAATAAAAACATATCCTCAGTGAGGATTTAAAAATAAAAAGTCTTCTATGTATAGGGTCAATACCAAGTTCTCCTGTTCTACCCAATTATATTTTGCCCAATAAAAGACAAGATTTTGCTTCATCGCTTGACCTTAAAGATTGTAATATATATATATATATATATATATATATATATATATATATATATATATATACTAGAGGCCCAGTGCACGAAATTTGTGCATGGGGAAGGGGTGTTTCTCAGCACAGCCTGCACCTTCTCCAATCTGGGACATCCCTCTCCAATCCAAGACTGCTGGCTCCCAACTGCTCACCTGCCTGCCTGCCTGATTGCCCCTAACTGCTTCTGCCTGCCAGCCTGATCACCCCTAACCACTCCCCTGCCAGCCTGATTGACACTTAACTGCTACCCTGCTGGCCCAATCGCCCCCAACTGCCTTCCCCTGCTGGCCCAATCGTCCCCAACTGCCCTCCCCTGCTGGCCTGGTCACCCCAACTGCCCTCCCCTACAGGCCTAGTCCCCCCCCAACTGCCCTCCCCTGAAGCCTGGTGCCCCCAATTGCCCTCTCCTGTAGGCCAGACAGCCCCCAACTGCCCTCCCCTGCAGGCTTGATCGCCCCTAACTGCCCTCCACTGCTTGCCTGATCGCCCACAACTGCCCTCCCTTGCCAGCCATCTTGTGGTGGCCATCTTGTGACCATACGGGGGAGGCCATCTTCTGTGAGGGCATGATGGTCAATTTGCCTATTACCTCTTTATTATATAGGAGATATATATATTTTATATATATATATTAAATAATCACATTTTACTATATGCTTATGTTGCTAGAAATCTACTCAGACATCAAAATGTGCTTTTTATAGTAAAACTTATGAGAAACTAGCTTACATACTGTTATCTGCTATCCAGTGTTTCTTGATGAGAATGGTAAGTGGCTGTCCTACTGGCGTGCATGAGAGCTCAGTTATTGATTGGACATCTTACTTTCAAGACTCTTACTATTGAAGTAGCTTCCTCAAAACACCAAGCCTAGTTAGAAACGCCAACTAGAAGTGAGGAGGGGTCTGTTTTATACGGACAAGCAGATCCTAGAAAGAGGTAACAAGTGGAAGCCTGACAGAAAGTACAGAAGAAAATTCTATCATAGACAGATCCATACATTTTAAAAACAAAGCAATCTGAGTTGCTTAGAATTTTTACAGTGACCGCGGAGGCTTCAATTCATTGTGGCAGCACAGTCATAATCAAGATCGATGGCCAGTATCAAAAGGTTTCACATCTTTAAGGTGATTAGCACACGTGGAATACATTGTAAAAACATTTCTTGAAAATTTCTTCCTTGGAGGCCAGTGACTTTATCTGTGCTCTTCATCACCATATTCCAGGGCTCCAATGAGTGACTGACACAGAGTATGTGCTCAAGTAATATTTATTAAGTAGTTGAGTGAATTATCCTCTACAGCAGTGGCTTTCAACCTTCCTAATGCCACGACCCTTTAATCCAATTCCTCATGTTGTGGTGACCCCCAATGTCATTGTTACAAATTGAACATAATTAAAGCATAGTGGTTAATCACAAAAACAATATGTACTTATATATGTGTTTTCCGATGGTTTTAGGTGACCCCTGTGAAAGGGCCGTTCGACCCCCAAAGGGGTCGCAACCCACAGGTTGAGAACCGCTGCTCTAAAGGGTTATTATTCTTCTTTAAAAGATTTGGTACTTAATTCAAGGGTGTTAAATTTGCTTTATCCAGAAGACTTAACTATCAGGAAGATTCAAGATAAGCAGATTTCTTCTGTACTTCTTCCATGAAAAATGAGATTGAGATCTTATTTCATTTAGCCCATCTCATCAACGGCCTACAGCAAAGATACACTGTCATGGGTGTTTTCTAGGCAGCACCATCCATAGCATCCTATCCTGTAGAATACCTCCCGTGGAAGCTCCTCAATGAAACTAACAGCTCTTGCGTTCTTTCCAGAAATCTTATGTCCAAATCCTCCAGATATTCCTAACGGAAGACACACAGGAAAACATCTGGAAATCTTTTCTTTTGGAAAAGAAGTAACTTACACATGTGATCCCCAACCAGACAGAGGGATGAACTTCAGTCTCATTGGGGAGAGCACCATCCGCTGCACAAATGACAGTCAAGGGAACGGGCTCTGGAGCGGCCCTGCCCCTCGCTGTGAACTTTCTGGTCCTGCTGGTCAGTACACATTTCCCCACCTCCCATATGGGTCAGTGAGTCTGGGCAAGAACCTCCAGATTTCTATTGTGACAGTTTCTGTTCCTCTGAATATCACTTTGTTATGAATATCAGACACAGAAGTACCTGCCAGGAGAATAACAGATGGTTCAAGAGGTGCTGCACTGTGCCCCAACTGATGGTATTCTGATGACCCTGCCCACTGGGGTGAGGAATGTAGGATGGTGAGGACAGGAAGCAGTAGAGAGTAGAGAGAATCAGTGAGTCCCAAAGTTGATAGAGAATATTTTAAAACCAGTGAAAATATTGGGTTATGTCATTTCTATTACTAGTTGTTTCCATACTACAAGGATGTTGTGCAGAGCAAAATGTACATGTTGCTGGAGTAATTTCCTTCAAAATAGGTAATGCTCTAGAAGTAATTAGGCAAGTCCCGATCTAGCCATTTGTGCTCCTCTTGTTACTTCTAAGAGTTCTGCTCAGCCCATGACTGTATTTTGTTGACCCTTCGTCTCACCTTTAACAAAAGGAACTCAGGATGCCCTGGAGAAGTGAAGTGGGTGGTTGTGCTCTTGGCCTCTGTAGCTCAATCCTTTCCCATATATTTCTAGCTTTAAGTGACAGTACCTGGCAACCAGAAGCTCCTTTGTGGCTGTGAGTGGCCACACAAGCTCCGTCCTCCAGCGAGGACAGGTAGCATTGGCTGGGTGATTTGTAGATGCCAGTGGTATTTCTGTCTGGTGCACTCTGCAGGTAAAGACATACTACATGATCCTGTTTACAAGCTGAGAAGTCTGGGTTCAGAGAATTAGTCTTCCCACTGACCCGCAAACATTTAGTATCTGGAGTCCTGCCTACCTAGGTTTTCATGTGGCTCTAAGAGTCAGAAATATTATTTGATGTGTTGGCGTGTTCATACTTCTATGTTTAACTGAAAGCCCTTTCTTGATCTTAGCATGCCCACCTCCACCCAAGGTGCACAATGGGCATCACACTGGAGGACGTGTATCTCCATATCTTCCTGGGATGATCGTCAACTACACCTGTGACCCAGGCTACCTGTTGGTGGGGAAAGGTTTCATTTTATGTACACATGAGGGAAGCTGGAGCCAAGTCTACCATTATTGCAAAGGTATCTTCTATTCTTGCTGGGCTTTTATGGAAGATTTCTGCATGAGGCTAATAAGGCTGGTGGAGATCTTATCTGAGAGGATGGTGAAATGAGTATCAATAGAGGAGAAGCAAAGAAGAACAAACAGTAGGAAGAGAGGCTGCACAAATATCCTTACCTCTACCAAATAAGTAGGAAGAACAGAGGGAATTGTCAGCGATAGAATAGACATCAACCACGAATTTAAAATGCTTTCCAGGCCTTTTACTAATAAACTATTTCAGCTTTAAAGGATCACAGATGGTCCTCACAAATACCCTTAGAAGGTCAATAAGAGACTAGAAGCCTTTTGTTGTGAGGACAGTGGAAGTGAGGTCGGAGTAGTTAGTTCTGGAATGACTAGGTGTGGAGTCTCACTATAACTTCCAAGTCCAAAGGTAAAGAGTTTATTGCCTCTTACCTGCACCAAGTGCCAGGAATGATTTTGTTATTCATATATAATGAAATATCACTTTAAAACCTTTCTTGGCAATATTCTAAAAAGCTACAAAATGTGGAATTAAAAATCATATTCTCTAACTAGGCCTGCTACTGATATTTTTACAGACGTGATGTGTGTTAGTCCACAGAAGAATCTGATGAGGTGGGATGATTATTCTTGCTTTCTTACCGAGGAGGAAATTGAGGTGTAGAGAGATCCAGTTACTAGCCTATGATCCTCAGCACAGGAGTGATGGTGCTAGGATTGGACCCCAGCTCATCCCCTGCTTTCTAACTCTGCACTTTATAGTGACTCCTTTTAAGTGTGGCTTTTTGACTTTTCAAAACTATAAGTTAAGGGCTCTTTGCTTTGCTTGTTTCTCTTCTATTCTTTTGTATTTCAAATACTGTGTTATCTTCCTATTTCCTGTGGTATGACCCAAGTGGATCTAGGCTGGAGTATGCTTATCCTAACTCCTCATCTTTCCACAGCTTTCCAGTTTCAGAGTTGCTCACAATTAAAAGTGGATTACAGTACATTCCATATTCCTAGGAAAATAAAGCTTGAGAATCTTAAATCATAAGATATTTAGGGAGGGGCTATCAGTTTTTCTTGATTGAAAACATGACCCATCTTTGCTGAAGGGAAATAGATTTGGGGGGTCATAGGTCTTTCCATTATGGTAGTTACAACTAAAGTTCTCAATAAAATATCAATTTCCTTCTGATTTTTCTAATTTCAGAGGTAAAATGCAGCCTCCCAGAGTTTATGAATGGAATCTGGAAGGAGTTGGACATGAGGCAAGAATTTCGATTTCAAGATAATGTAACCTTGGAGTGTAAAGATGGATATACTCTGGAAGGCAGTCCCCGGAGCCAGTGCCAGGCAGATCACACATGGGACCCTCCTCTGGCTACATGTACTAGTACATCTGGTAAGTGCAAGAGCAGGAAGAAGGAATACAGGTCCTCCCCAGTCGTGCACTGTTCATTCATTCATCCGTACTGTCATCGAATGTGGTGTGATTGTTACAGCATCGAACGTGGTAGCACTAAGGAGTGCAAGAGGAGCTCCTAATTCTTCTCCAAACGCCCTTAGCAAAGACAGCCAAGCAAGCCTTGCTCTCTCCACAGTTCTCAATCCATTCATCTTTCCTTGGGGACCTCACTGAACCTTTTTGGTCTGCATCACTCTATTGTTGCATGCATCCCATAGTAATGATTTATTTATAGCTCGGGGCTTTAAAAGTGAAGAGCCCCAAGAGGAGGCCTTCAAGAATTTCAGCATGAGTCAGGAAACACCTTCTAAGTTTGTGAGACCAGCTGTCCGTCTCCCTCACTGCTGTTGGCTACAGGATTCTAAACTGGTAAAACGACATCAGCAGATTTAGAAATCAGGTGTCATTGAGCTGTATTGGTAACTAGATAGAAAATTCTAAAGCCTGAACTTATACACATCAAGGAGCTAATGAGCAAAATTAACAATGAATAACTTTCCTTAATCTAAGTTAGTGCTAGGACTCCCTCACCCATTCTTATGATTCTTATTTGTAGCAGTGAATACCAAGATTGTTCAAGATGTTTTTAAAGTTAATCCCTTATATGTGCTAGTTAATCTGACTTATGAATAATATTTCCAAATTATAAACTGTAGCCTCCTTAATATCAAATTATATTCACTTTGGCAAAAAGCTCATTGCCTAGTTGGCTAAATGAATGCCTTTAGAGGGTTTGAACATGTGGCCATGAAAGACAGAAAATTCCCATGATGGAGGGCCACCTTACACGACATTAAAAGAAATATAAAGCCACAATACACAAATCACTTTAAAGTAGCACAAAATTGACTCATTTTTATAAGTGAAACAGAACAGATATTAATAAAATAAAGGTTGTTATAAATAAAAGAAGTATCTTACAGATGAAATATAACAGAGATGGTAAAGATGATCAAATAACAAAGGTAGCAGTGAAACAAATTTAGGACTTTTCTTTTTATCTTACAAAAAGTACCAGATGTATTCAAGAGTTAAAGTTTTTAAAGTCAATTAGAAAAGCTAATGTAAATTATATTTATTTGTCAAACCTCTGGAAGAAGACTTAAATTCTTTGAACTTTTGATATGACAGAGAAAATCATTAAAGATCAACAAATTTGACTTACAGCTTATGTGCGTATTTTGGAAAGTAAGAAAACAGTAGACAGATGAGAAATATGGGACAAATATAATGAGGAGTTAATAGTAGTATCATACCAGTAGCAGTAGTGGTAGTTGTGGTGGTAAAAATTAACATATATTGATTGAGAGCTTAATTCCACTGCTCAAAGGTTAGGTAGGTAAAGAGATGCTATAAATATGTAAAAACCTACATGTTTGGGAACATGATCTAGAAGGGAATGTACCAAAGCATTTCCTGGTGGTAGAATTATGTGTGATATTTTTCTTTTGTTCTGTTTTATACGTTCTTTGCTGTAGTTCTATTAATTTTATGATAAAATGGTAAGTTAAAAAGAAAGGAAACAGACCACTGAGTACAGAAGATAAAATGAGATTGTCTCAGTAAAACCAATGGTTTTTTAAATTAGAACAAAATTGGACTGTGCAATGATAAAAATTAGGCTAAATTGTCATTGGCTGAGGGCTACTGTTCAATCATGTTGAGGGCTTGACTGATGCATTTGTGAATTTATCTTCCTTTTAGGCCGACGCAATGCTCGCATTATTGGTAAGTTTTATAAAGGGTTTGCTGAGAAACTGCAGCACCTTTAACAGTAAGTATCCACTTATAATGAATGAAATGTAAAGAGAGAGGTCAACATATCTTACATTGCGATTTCATTTAGAAAGGAGACAGTGATAGACTCAGGCCACGGTGTGGCGAAACTGGTATCCTCACCTGCCTATAGAGTGTCCTCCATCAGAGGCTCTGCACTGTCTTTGAACCATTAAAGATGACCAGTCCTTCATCTTATTTTATTATAGCTGGAGAATACAACCTGGGAATATTCTTCAGGGCAGTAGTCAGGCTCACTTGCACAAATTGGAAGCCACAGAGACCACTAAGCCCATTTCTGGGATCAGAGTATGGAAGAGGAATAGCGTTATGAGAGAGTCGGCTTCAGAGGGAATTGGCAGAGTTTGTTGCATAGAATAGCTCCTGTGCCTCACACAAGAGATGCGCAGGCCTGAGAGGTGGAACCCAGGAGTCTCAGCGCTGTGCTCACATGTTGTTGAAAGGCTGCTGTTGGACTACAGGTTACAAAATGTCTCTGCTCACTCCTTACCCTTAACCCTATAGAAGTGACAGTAACGAGCTGGATTAGACAAGGAGCAGAGGGGAGCTCTTTTTGTTATTGTTGTTAATCCTCACCGGAGGATATTTTTTCCCATTGATTTTTAAAGAGAGAGAGTTGGGGGTGGGGGAGGAGACTCACCCCAACCAGGGCAGGGATCGAACCTGCAACCCAGGTAGGTGCCCTTGACCAGGAATCAAACCCATGACCCTTTGGTACACGGGCTGAGCTCTAACCACTGAGAAATGCCAGCCAAAGGGGAAATCTTAAAGGTAAGCCTGTGTCGGTGTTTTTTAAACCAGAATTTAGTTACATTTAAAAAAAATCATTGGCAACTTTAGAGAGACTAGATATGAAGATAGAGATGAAAAGCTAAGGGTTGTATTTTGCATGCACTTAATTACCTTGTTTTACTGCCTAGGCATATCCTCCAGTGTGGTCATCTTTATTATGCTCGTCATTATTTCCTGGATGATTCTAAAGCGCAAAAAACGGTCAGTCCAGCCACGGGCTTTGCAATCACTAAGACCTATGCTCATACTCACTCACTAGCTTTGCACCCTGGTCAAGGTACTTCGTCTCTCTAAAGTTCATTTTCCATGGAGCTCCAGTGGTGCAATCGGTTAGCGCGCGGTACTTATAAAGTTCATTTTCCTTGCCAGAAAAATAAGATAATAGTCGCTCCTACGGCAACACAGTGCCTCTTTTATAATGAATGTCACAAAATGTTAGCTTTGTTATTTATACATGACTACTATTACTGATATTTAAAAGTAATTAAATACTTCTTTTATTATCAGTGCTTATGTACCTTCATGAGAACTGCTACTTTCCATACTATAGGTATTGTACAAAATACAGAACGTATATCTTCACTATAGGGGTGAAAGGAAGCCTTGTGTAAGATGGCAGCGCAAAGCCAGTTAAATGTCACAATCCTGTTGTAGCAGTATTTACTAATCAATATAGCTTTGGGATAGAGAAATGTGTTGTTCTAAGGCATGGGCACTTGTCTGTAAGCGGGTTAGAGTTCCGACACAACCTATAGAATGGTTTTAGTATTCTTTTCTAATCCAAGTTTTTACTCAGTTTTGAAAAGTGTGACTTGGTTATATTTTTCTTTTTAGATGCCTTACAAAGATATTGGAAACCTGAGAGAAATTATGCCCTAAATTTCCAAATGAAAGTTATTGATTACCTCCATTCAAAACGAAAAATATATAATTTAGTTATTTTTCTCATCTTTTTCTCCCCTGCCAATTAGCAGTGATACAGATGCAAAATCTAAGGAAGTCAGTATCCATTTACATCCCCAAGAAGGGAGCTGTGATCATGCGCCAAGTCTGCAGACAAGTGAGGAACATAGCAGGTACTGAACACAAATTAAAATCAAAATGCTTTCGCCCTGACCGGTTTGGCTCTGTGGATAGAGCGTCAACCTGTGGATTGAAGGGTCCCAGGTTCGATTCCGGTCAAGGGCATGTACATTGGTTGAGGGCATGTCTCCAATGGGGGGTGTGCAAGAGGCAGCTGTTCGATGTTTCTCTCTCATTGATGTTTCTAACTCTCTATCCCTCTCCCTTCCTCTCTGTGAAAAATCCATAAAATATATTTAAAAATAATAATAAAAAAATAAAAATGCTTTCAACAATCCAAGTATCGAAATGGAAACAGGATTTAAATATGCCATTGTACCTGGTAGATCATTAATACCAAAGCCGTTGGAAAGTACTTCAGGAGCTGGAAGCTCTGCTGCTGGTGGTGTCTTTCTTGGATAATTTTTTCCAGTGATTTGTGGTGAGGACTCCGCAGTCCTGTGCACAGGCACTGTTTTCCTAAGCATTCCTGTATTATTGTGTGTTTGTCATCAGTGGAAGTGGTGTTCTTCCGGTGCCCTGGGGGAAAGAATTTTATAGATGATGTAAAGTTAAGGGGGTTCCCTTCCAAGATCCCATCTATGTCAGCCCCACCATGGACGAAGTCCGAGCTTACATTCAGCAGGGCTAGAGTTAGGGATGCCAGTCTCCACCCCATAGTAAAGCACAGGCCAGTCCAGCATCCGCAGGTGGGGTCCACATGGCCATGGGCCACGCGGCTTCTAGGCCCACATGGCTATGGAGAGAGAACAGGCGAGCGCACGGGGCAGGTGCAGGCCATGAAGTGAGAGTGCCACAGCACCAGACCAGAACTGCACACGAGAGAGGGAACTCTTTGTCCTGGGATCATGTATTTCCAAATTTTCCTGAGTTTGCATTGTGTCTACCCCTCTAGCCAATCCATAGTTCCTCAAGCTAGACTGACAGGCAAGCCCCTTCTCTATATCACCCTGACGGCACTGTGTATGCGCCCATCTCCCCCTTTGTTCAACTCCTTCCCTTGAGCATGTGCCCTGACTGGGAATCGAACAGGTAACCTCTTGGTACGTGGGAGTCGTCAGAAAACTTACAAAGATATCAAAAACCTAAGACAAGTGATGCCCTAAATTTCAAAATGAAAGCTACTGACTACCTCATTTCAAAACTAAAATGTATATAATTTAGCTATTTTTCTCATCATTTTCTCCCCTGCCAATTAGCACTAATACCTGGCCAGGCAGGGGTGATGTGCCACAGTCTTTTCACAGCAGTGGTTCAGGAATCTGGAGAAGGGGCTGCGACATAATGGATAGAGACTATATAAGAAATATAAACTTGGAATGCATTTTGCAGGAGCCAGACAGAAACCAGCTCTCTAGTGGAGTGGCTCACCGAATCTCCGGACCCACGGCTTTTTATTTACACATTTTTTTCCTTTAGCAAAGCAAGCACACATATCAAAGGTAAAGTTTAATAAACAGTAAAAGATTTTATCAGGTTAGGGGATCACCCTCAGCCGTTTGGCCAGCAGCAGGGTAATATAATGTTGATACTCAGCCCTGCCCTGCTGCATATCAAAGTCCATCCACCTCCTGGTGAACTTGCAGCATTTATTATGACCTACTGGTCTTAACCCCCAGCAGGGATGCATTTGTTTTCCTCTATTATCAGGGAACTTTGATGGAAAAATTGTGCAAAAGTGATTCTTAGCCAGCCATGCTATCACCAAATATAAACAGACTAAATAACCAGACCATGAGGGCAATGCTTGTCTTTATACAATTTTATTTAAAAATGTTCCAGAAGACTGCTTAAGGTATCATTTCATTTACCTTATTCCTGCCAGGTTACCTGCCTAAAACATATTGCCACCTTCCTTCCAATCCAAGTTGCATGAACCCAGCTCAGAATTCACTGACCCAAGAAGCTCCCCCAAATAACTCTAGTCCAAAGTGATGTCTCTCTTTGGAACTCAAAGCACTTCCTGTCTATTCCAAATTTTTAAAATAAATTATTTTCTTTCAAGGATAATATATACTCATTGAAAACAGAAAATACCCAGAAACATAAAAATAATAAAAATCACTTGTAATAACCCTCCACCCAGTGGTTAGTATTATTAAGCTACTTTGCATATTATTTTACATTTGCAAGGTTATACTTTGAGATTATGTTGATGTGATTTTGGTTTCAACAAATGACAACCATTCTTCTCATTGTTAAAAACTGTATATGAATACATCATACAGTATTCGACTTTTCATTTGTTGCTTTTTACCCATTAACTCTATTGCATTCTTTCACTCACTCATTCATTGATTCTACAAATTTTGATTAGTCACTTATAATTGTAACCAGACAATCAATGAATCCGGGCTGCCTGTCAATACTTGATCCATTTTAGCAGACAGGGTTGATTCATACATTAGCATTTATTCCAATAATGCCGGCAGTATGGGAGAGCAGCAGGTCATCCATAAAATTCTGCTTTGCCCCCCACCATAAGCCAGCTGCTTTTATTGGGTAGATGGACAAAGATTACATGGGGAAGAAGGCAAAAGGGATAAGAATGGGTAGGCAACATGGGCAGTTTAAAGGTCATGCAGGCTGGGGGTTTGCAAAGGCCTGGGGCTGCCTCTGGTTTCTGCAACAAGGTTGTTAACCTTTCAATGATAATAGGCAGCTCCTGGATATGGAGGATGGACCACATTTCCAGGTGAGCTCCCAGGTCCCACATGCAACTCCCATCCAGGTTGAAATGTGCTTTCTTTATTTTTTTTAATTAAATCTTTATTGTTCAGATTATTACAGTTGTTCCTCTTTTTCCCCCCCATTGCTCCCCTCCACCTGGTTCCCACCCCACCCTCTGCCCTTACCCCCCCACACACTGTCCTCATCCATAGATGTACGATTTTTTTCCAGTCTCTTCCTGCACCCCCCATACGACTTTCCCCCCCGAGAATTGTCAGTCCATTCCCTTTCTATGCCCCTGATTCTATTATATTCACCAGTTTATTCTGTTCATCAGATTATTTATTCACTTGATTTTTAGATTCACTTGTTGATAGATATGTATTTGTTGTTCATAATTTGTATCTTTACCTTTTTCTTCTTCTTCCTCTTCTTAAAGGATACCTTTCAGCATTTCATATAATACTGGTTTGGTGGTGATGAACTCCTTTAGCTTTTATTTATTTGTGAAGCTCTTTAGCTGACCTTCAATTCTGAATGGTAGCTTTGCTGGGTAAAGTAATCTTGGTTGTAGGTTCTTGCTATTCATCACTTTGAATATTTCTTGCCACTCCCTTCTGGCCTGCATAGTTTCTATTGAGCAATCCGCTGACAGTTGTATGGGTACCCCCTTATAGGTAACTGTTTTTCTCTTGCTGCTTTTAAGGCTCTCTCTTTGTCTTTTGCTCTTGGCATTTTAATTATGATGTGTCTTGGTGTGGTCCTCTTTGGATTCCTTTGGTCTAGGGTTCTCTGCACTTCCTGGGTGTGTAAGTCTATTTCTTTCACCAGGTAGGGGAAGTTTTCTGTCATTATTTCTTCAAATAGGTTTTCAATATCTTGCTCTCTCTCTTCTTCTGGCACCCCCATAATTCGGATGTTGGTATGCTTGAAGTTGTCCCAGAGGCTCCTTACACTATCTTCATATTTTTGAATTCTTTTTTCTTTTTGTTTTTGCTTCTTCGTATTTCAAATCTTTGCCTTGATTCTTGGGATCCTTTAGTCAGCTGTTGGATCTCTGTATAATATTCTTTATTTCAGTCAGTGTATGCTTAATTTCTAGTTGGTCCTTTTTCATATCCTCAAGGGTCTCAATAGATTTCTTGAGGGTCTCACTAAATTTATCGTTGGTTTCTAGAAGATTCTTGAGTAACCTTATAACCGTGGTTTTGAACTCTATATCCAGTAGTTTGCTTTCTTCCATTTCTGTCATTTGTGACCCGTTTTTTTGTTTCCTCATTTTGGCTGCTTCCCTGTGTTGATAGAATGACTTTCTGTACTAGGTATCCTATAGGGCCCATTGGCTCAGCCTCCCCAATTACCTGAGATGGACATTCTTGGTGCACCCCTTTGTGGGCTGTGTGCACAGTCTTGTTGTAGTTAAGCCTTGATTGTTGTAGGTATCACTGGGAGGAATTGAGCTCCAGGCCAATTGGCTGTGAGAATCAGCTGTGTCAACGGTGGAAGAACTTCTGTGCTGGAGACACTCTTATGAGCAAGACTTGCTTCAGTGCGGCTTTGGTGATCACTGAGTCTGCCCCCTAAGTGTGTCCCTTATGGATCTGAGGAGTTGTAATCTGGATGGTCCCACTCTGACCACTGGGTACACTGGCACATGGATCTTTAAGGAAGTGCTAATTTAGTCTCTGCCTGAGACTATGCAGTAAAAGCTACAGAGAGATCTGCAGATTCCTCTTCTTTGTTTGGGGTTTGGAGGTGCCCAGATGAGGCCCAGCTGTGAAGCAATGCAACCTGCTGTGGGCCTTGGGCCTTCTTTTGGATGTTCTGGGTCTTTCTGACCTAGCTGCAGTTTTTTAGGTGATTGTAGATTGCAAAGGGCCAGGTCATTCATATGCAAAAGCCTCTGCACACAGCTTGGGTGGGGCAGGGTCTCAAGGAATCAACAGGGGGGCGCAAACAGCTATGGCTGATCCTCAGTTCTGCCCTAAGAGGCCCTGGTTCTCACTGTTCCTCGGTATTCGCAGCAAGCACCTCTAAGAGAAAGCTGCCCTCGAGTTCCGCCCGATGCCAGACAGTCCAGTTTCTCCCCGTATGAGTCTGGGTCCCCAGAGACTCGCCCGGAACTGGAGTTCAGGACGGGGAGCTTGTGTCTCCCTCCCGATTGAAAAAGATAACCGCATCCTCAGTTGCCAGCCCTTTCCGCGTGTGCCTCCGTACCTCTGCACTCCACCTCCGCAGCTCCTCTGAGTCTCAGTGTGCTTTTCTCTTTCCTTCTAGTTGTATAATTACTACTCAGCCAGCCTTCCTGTGGTTCTGAATGGTG